ATATTGACAGAGGGGTGACATATATTTCATCCATATTTTTATATAATGTTTTTATTTTTTAATACTACAAATACATATAAGCATTTCTATTATAAATTTCATTAAAAATAACATATAAATAATATTTTTATTCGTTTTTAAAATAAAAAAATATATTAAATATAAATTATTTAAGAAAACATGAGTTAAAAAAATACAAAAAAATCAATTAAAAAAATACAAAAAAAATATTTTTTAATTTAGAAAAAATATTTAAAAACAAATAAAAAAACTATTTTAAAAATATATATATATATATTAAAAAAATAAATTAAAATGCATGTGGAATTAAAAAATAATTTAAATCCACATAAAATTAAAAAATAAAATAAAATGACATTTGACTTAGCAAGTCAGCACACATGTGATTCAGAGTCTTTATTGATGGGATCTAGATTTGGTAAAGGGATCACAAAAACAATTTTTATAAAAGTGAAATCAAAACTCGTTATTATTCTATTTGGTCATTTCTGTGAATTTCTGACAAAAGAAAATATCAAGTTCTTATAACATGACATGATAGCAAGATAATGGTAGAAATTTGAGTCAATTTATGTACTTAAATATTGATACACGGTTTAAATTATTGAGTTCCTCAGAAAACAAAAACTCTCTTTTAATAGGGTATCAATTTTTAACTACAAATTTGTACTAATAATTTTGTTGTCACGCCATGTCCCACAAACTTAATGTTTTTTTGGTTAGAAATTGACGTAAGAGATTAAATAAAATTTAAAAAATAAAATTTAAATACTAATTTGTAAAGTTTTTTAAATAAAAGATTAAAACTGAATATTAAATTAAATTAAAGGATTAGTGGCTAAAATAAAAATTCAAGACGGCATACCTCCTCCTTTTTACACCGTTGGCGAGGAGATGAACCTGGAAAAGTGGTGAAAAATCAGTCGTGAATGCTACAAACAACATTCTACAAACTGAATTGAAGATTAGTTTGGTTACAATTCAAAATCACCTACCATGTGCTCAATCTCATCCTATTCGACATGTTCATCAACCCTTCTCACTTCTTCTTCTTCCTCCTTTTCATTCCTTTGTTCCTTTCTCAAAACCACCATCCTTACCCTCCCAACCCCATTCCCCACAACCACTATCTCTAACATATCCGCATCAGCCACACCCAAACATGTCTGGACCCGAACACGTCGTCCTCCATTCTCCAACCCCAACAAACAACAACGTCGTACCAGAACCCAACAACAACAACCACACGAACCCCCTTATATAGACAGCAGCGTAGACATGAAGGAACTCTTAACCTCAATCGGACAAACCCACAACGTCGAACAACTCTACGCACTCATGTCCCCTTACAATAACAGACAACTTTCAATCCGTTTCATGGTTTCCATTCTCACCCGTGAACCCGATTGGCAACGCTCTGTCGCAATTCTCGATTGGATGAATGAAAAAGCTCAATATTCACCTTCAATCGCCGCTTACAACGTCGTTCTACGTAACGTACTTCGGGCTGAACAGTGGCAGTTTGCACACGGACTGTTTGATGAAATGCGTCAACAGGGTCTTTCCCCTGATAAATACACTTACTCCACACTCATTACATGTTTTAGTAAACAAGGTTTGTTTGATTCCTCTTTCTATTGGTTGCAACAGATGGAAAATGACAGAGTTTCTGGTGACCTTGTTTTGTATAGTAATTTGATTGAATTTGCGCGGAAGCTCTGTGATTATTCCAAAGCCATTTCGATTTTCAATTCATTGAAAGCTTCTGCTAATATTGTTCCTGATCGTATAATTTATAATACCATGATTAGTGTGTATGGTAAGGCTAAGCTCCTTCCGGAAGCTCGTCTTCTTCTTCAAGAGATGAGGGAGAATGGTGTTCGTCCGAATACTGCTAGTTACTCGACGCTTCTTGCGATTTATGTTGACAATCAGAAGTTTGTGGAGGCGCTTTCTTTGTTCTCGGAAATGAATGAAGTTAAATGTCCGATTGATCTTACTACGTGTAATATCATGATTGATGTTTATGGTCAGCTTCAAATGATCAAGGAGGCTGATTGCTTCTTCTGGGGTATGAAGAAAATGGGAATAGAACCCGATGTGGTTAGTTACAATACTATCTTGAGGGTTTATGGAGAGGCTGAGCTATTTGGGGAAGCGGTTCATCTTTTTAGTTTGATGGAAAGGAAAGGTATACTACAGAATGTTGTCACGTACAACACCATGATTAGTATTTATGGCAAATTTCTTGAGCATGAGAAGGCGACGAATCTCATTCAAGAAATGCAGAGTAGAGGTATTCAACCAAATGCCATCACTTATTCAACCATAATATCTATATGGGAAAAGGCAAGGAAATTGGACAGGGCAACCATGCTGTTTCACAAGTTAAGGACTTCCGGAGTTAAAATTGACGCTGTTTTATATCAGACCATGATTGTTGCGTATCAGAAAGCTGGATTAGTTGCTCATGCCAAAAGGCTACTTAATGAGCTCAAGCAACAGGATAATGTTTCCAGGGAGACAGCAATCACAATACTGGCCAAAGCCGGTAAAGTTGACGAGGCTATGTGGGTTTTCCGACAGGCTTTTGACGCGGGAGAGGTGAAAGACATATCTGTATTTGGGTGCATCATTGATATTTTCTCAAGGGACAGAAAGTATGCACATGTGGTTGAAGTGTTTGAGAAGATGAGAGAGGTTGGATATTTTCCCGATTCTAATGTTATTGCTCTGGTGTTAAATGCTTTTGGAAAGCTTCGCCAATTTGAGAGAGCAGATGCTTTGTACAAACAGATGCATGAAGAAGGGTGTGTTTTCCCTGATGAAGTTCATTTTCAGATGCTTGGTTTATATGGCGCGAGAATGGATTTCAAGATGGTGGAATCATTGTTTGAGATGCTAGATTCCAATCCCAAAGTCAACAAGAAGGAGTTGCATTTTGTTGTCGCCAACATTTACGAAAGAGCAGATAGATTTAATGATGCTTCTCGAATCATGAGAAGGATGAATCACAAAGCAATAAAAAGTCATGGTAATACTTAGAACATTGAACTATGAATCTGACTTTCCCAATGTAGCTTGAATTGATTGACATTCTTTGGCCACCGATCATATCCATAAACACAGTATTCAGAAAATCTCTCTTATTCCCAACTAAGTGTCCAAAATTCTGATGTGTATATGATGTTGAACCACAACACACATTCTGAATAGAATCATCCCTGTTAATCATTACAGTTCTATATATTCAGGCTTATGAGCACTACTATACCCTTTTTACCAAGCTCCTTACACCTCTTCACAGAAAATGGAGCCACTTTTTCATCTACATGATTGTTGTATATCCACTGAGAATTTCATTTGTGAATCTAATTTGAAAACAAAAAAAATATATATCTGGTTTGAATTTCAATTGTGAATCCAAGGTGGGTTAATAGCATGTGCAAGATGACGATGTTTAAGTATTTTATCTGTGTCCTTATTATGTTTGCGCCTTGTATTATACCTTTTATTAATAGTGAAATGCATTGATCTTTTATTGTATAAAAGAAAGTTACACTCACTCCCACTATTTCTTCAATTCTATGAGTGGGTGCTTATTCAAGAAATAGATGTGTGGGTCATTTCAGCAGATCCGAGAGAAGGTGGGAACAATTTCCCCCCAAAAGTATAAAACATTCATTTAAAGTAAAATTAAAGTGTCTTTTTAAACCTTTGGGATATGGAAGTCAAATTCAACCCACAAATGTTAATACTTAAAAATGTTTTTATATCAATGAGATAAAATAAGTGATGAGCATTATCCATGTGTTCGGAGAGAGAAAGTCTAACTTCTCTTTAGAAATTTATCGTGTTCACTCACTTTCTTATCCTTTTAAGGGTTTGAAGAATTCGGTCGAGACTCAAGAACTTAGCAAAAATCTTGTCCTCTTTCGTTTTGCGTCAAAACACGATTTGGAATGGGTGATGCATAATGGCCCTTGGAGCTTTGACATAAATCTTTTAGTTCTAGATTCGTGTCTTAGGGGAGGAGCAACCATCAGAGCTGAACATGAACTTTGGGATGTTTTGGGTCAGAATCTACGAGCTCCTTCTCATGCTTAGATATGAAGCGATGGCGAGAAAAATTGGAGGGATACTAGGAGTTTTCGAAGAAATGAACCAAAAAGAAGCTCATAGGAATGAGAGATTCTTAAGGGTGAAGGTGACAATTGATCTAAAGCAGCCTTTGAAGAGAGGTACGATGGTTCGTTTTAAGGAGAAGAATCTGCGTGTTCATTTCAACTACGAAAGGCTTCCAATTTTCTGTTTTGTTTGTGGAAGACTAGGGCATCAACTAAAGGACTATGAGGCGGTTATGTACCTCAGTGAAGAGGGGTTTGATGACTTGGAAGAGCAAGATCTGTCTTTTGGACTTTGGTTAAGAGCTTCGCCTCTGCCTAGAATCCAAGAAGAGCAGAAGAAAAAGGAGTCAAATTCTAGTTCCTGCACCAAGAGCCTTTTCAACATCTCATCAGGACAAGGTAAATGTGAGTCCAAGGGAAAAGAGAAAGAAGGAGAAGGGGAAGTTGAGCAACGGAAGGGAACCTCGAGTGGAAACATTTAGTTGGAGGAGCCAAAATTGTTAGAAGAACCAACGAGAATCAGCAAATCTCTTGAGATTGATGCGGTGGCCAAATCAGTTGGGGTTGTAGACATCTCAAAGGTTGGAAAAGGGATGGAAGCCACCCCAATGGTGCTAGTGTGAAGCGGAAGAAATGGACACGTAGACAACCTTCAAGGAAAGGAAATCCTAGTCAAGAACAAAAGCTAGAGGTGGAGATTGGAAAAAGACAACTTGTGGATGTTATTATTGTGGAAGATTATGTTGAGGGAGGTGAAAGTGGAGACAAGAAGATGAGGAGTCTAGTAGGGTTGAAAGAAGTTACTATTACTAAATCAGAGGTGGTGTTAGAGGACTAACACCACCTACCCCAATGAAAATTATCAATTGGAATTGCAGGGGTTTAGGGAACCCCCGTGCAGTTCGAGCCTTGATAAGGCTCACCCATATTGAAAAGAGGGGTGGAGATAATTTCATCTGTCTTGGGGACATGAACAACATTACGTCTGATAGTGAGAAGAGGGGTGGAGCCAGTAGATCCACAATCCAATTTGCTTGGGGCACCAAACTTTGAATAGTCGTGGCTTAATTGACTTAGGATTTGAAGGCTACCCATTTACCTGGACTAATTGATGCAGGGTAGAGAGAATGTTCAATGTAGATTGGATAGATGCCTTGCAACAGAGAGTTTCATCAACAGGTTTTCCCCTATTAGGGTAAGTCATCTCTCGCGTTATGGCTCTGATCATGCGGCTGTTAGAGTTATTTTGGAAGATGATTCGGGTAGATGTAGCAGAAGGAGGAACCATATTTTTAGATTTGAGAAAGTGTGGAGTAGGGATCCAAGGTGCGAGAAAGTAGTGAATCAGTTGTGGAATAGCCCTTCTTTGAGAGGCCACAACAAATTCGATGTGATGAAGGGTTTAGAAGATGTTTTTAAGGAGTACAAGTTAGGGACTGTGAAAAAGAAGCTAAAAAGAGTTGAAGATTTGTTAAAGGAGGACAACCTTTGGAATGAGGGGGCTGTGGAGATCAATTCTTTAAGAGCTCTTGAGAGTCAAAGAGATAAGTTGTTGTAGGTGAAGGAGGTCATGTGGAGACAGAGAAGCGGGGCTCTTTGTCTCAAACACGGGGATAAAAACACGAAATTCTTCCACGGAAAGGCTAATCAAAGAAGACAAACAAATGCCATTAATAAGCTTAAGGATGAAAATGGTTTCTGGTAGCGACGCGGTGAACATTGTGAAGGACTGCTTATTAATTATTTTTCGGACCTTTTCTCCTCTACTAATCATGTGAATATGGATGATGCTTGTTCTGTGGTGCAGGGTAAATTAAATCATGATCATGTCAACTGGCGTGCAGCAAGGTTCACCCCTGAGGAAGTAAAAGAGGCTTTGTTCTAGATGAATCCTCTGAAAGCCCTGGGTTTGGATGGTCTACCAGCTCTGTTTTTCCAAAAGTATTGGCACATTGTTGGCCCTGAAGTGAGTAACATGGTTCTGAACAACAACAAGAGCCATGGTCAGATCAGTGGTAGTCACATAGTGTTAATTCCAAAGTGCAAAAACCTAGCTAGCCCCATGGATTTCAGGCCCATTAACTTATGTAATGTGGTGATGAAGATGTTTACCAAGGCTATTGCAAATAGAATAAAGGACATCCTTCCTAATATTGTGGATGAGGAGAAAAGTGCCTTTCTCCATGGTCATCTTATTTCTGATAACGCTCTGGTGGAAATGGAGAGTTTCCATTGGATGAAGAAGAATACCAAGGGAAAAAAGGGAGTTATGGTAATCATGCTGGATATGTCCAAAGCGTATGATAGGTTAGAGTGGCTATTTGTCATCAAGGTCCTCCCCTCGATGAGACTTTCAGATTTTGTGGTTAACCTCATCAGAAATTATATCTCTACAGTTTCTTACAAAGTTCTCGTTAATGGCTACCCTAGTTCAAGTTTTCTTCCAGAGAGGAGTACCCGTCATGGTGACCCTTTGTCACCCTATTTATTCATCTTACGTGTTGATGTTCTGTTAGGTCTATTAAAGCGTGATGTCCACCAAAGGAAGATTCATGGCATTCAAGTTGCAAGAAAGGCCCCTGTGATTTCCCACCTCTTCTTCACTGATGACTGTCTTCGTTTTTCTAGAGCCAATTAAAGTAAAGTTGATCGTATCACTTCCATTCTTAATGAGTATAAGAGTGTGTATGGCCAGGTGGTTAACTTGAATAAATTAGAGGTGTCCTTCAGCATAAATGTCAATAACAAGGGTAAGGATGTTATCTGTGCTAGGATAGGGGTGAGAACTATTAGGAATCATTCCAAATATCTAGGCTTGCCGGTTATCTTTGGGAGATTCAAGAGAGAGGTTTTTGATATGGTTATTGAAAGGGTGTGGAAGAAATTAAAAGGGTAGAAGGAACATTTTCTATCAAGAGAATGGAAAGAGGTCCTAATCATGGCGGTTGCTCAGGCTATTCCAAATTATATCATGTCTTATTATAAGTTACCTGAGTCTACCTGTCATGAGCTTGAAACTATATTGGCCAGGTTTTGGTGGGGCTCCAAGAATGAAGAGAGAAAGGTCTATTAGGTGAGTTGGGAGAAGTTGTCTCATGCAAAATGGGATGGATTTATGGGTTTTAGGGGCATCAGTGAGCTCAAAATTAGTCTTTTGGGAAAACATTATTGGCGTTTATTGAATGGAGATGACACTTTGGCGGGGAAGGTTTTCAAGGGAACATATTATCCTAGGTGTTCCGTTGATGATAACTTTGTTGGATATGCTCATAATTACACCTAGAAGAGCTTTCTCAGTGCTAGAGATTTGATCAATAAAGGGATTCAGTGGAGGATTGGAAATGGAGATAAGGTGAGGATCTTTAAAGATAGGTGGATTCCTAACAGTCCTGGTTTCAAAATTCTTTGTGGCGCCAACAGAATTGATATGGAGGCTAGGGTGTGTGACCATATTGATGCTGACTTAGGCTCTTGGAAGAGGGACTTAATCAACACTAGTTCTAATCAGACTGAAGCCAATCAGATTCTCAGCATTCCTGTCTCTCGCAACATTTCTTAAGATAAGTTAATCTGGCACCATGAGAAGAACGGGCTTTATTCTGTTCGTTTTTCTTATCCCTGTTGTATGCATCATAGCTCTGCAAATAATCTCAGGCCTTATAGCGTCTCTCTTCACAAGCTTTGGAAAGAGATTTAGAAAGCTCTGGTGCATTCAAGAGTTCAAAACTTCTTGTGGATATTAGTCAAGGATATCTTGCCTTCTAAACAGAATCTTCAAAGAAAAGGTATTCCTCTTGATGTTTCATGTCCCTTTTGATTTTCTGCAGTCGAAAACTCCCACCACTTGTTCTTGGAATGTACCTTTGCTAGGCAAGTCTTCTTCTTTTCTATCCTCGGTTATCGTGCTCCCGTTAATGTGGCTATTTGTGACTGGATCCTGGAAATTTTGGTCTGCCGGGATTTGTTAAGCACCCAACTATTGTGCACTATTACTAAAAAAAATTGGCATGCTAGTAATTTGGTGTTGTACCAGAAGAAGGAATCCTCTCCGGTCAGGGTGGCTGCTGATGCTCTTTTCAGCATCTTTGAATTCAATGCTAAGAATCCGGAGGTTGGGGAAAAAATGGGTAGCCTGCTCAGCAGGTCGTGGACTCCTTCCCCTAGGATGTCACTATTATTTAGGTCGATGTGTAGATTTTTTTCCAGATGGTTCAGTGGCTTTTGGTAGTGTTTTTAAGAATAATGAGCTGGGAATCCAGTTTGCTGCAAGCAAGAAGGAGTTGATCACTGTGAATTCTAATCTTGCAGAGATGCTTGCTATTAGGTGGTGCCTAAACATTGCTATTGATATCAAGCTGGAGAAAGTTTTCACACAGTCATATGTGCAGACAGCGGTTGATTGTATTAACTCTGTTGCAGTTGATGATGTTCTTGATATTGGGAAATGAGTGTGAGTTATGTTGAGAAACAATTGTGAGATCTAAATCCAACATTGCTTAGTGTTGCACCCCAAATTTTGACCCCTTAGATCCTCATCATCATTTTAAGATCATATTCATTTGATTATCTAACCATAACCTATTTCAAGTTTGTCTTTGTCAAGATACAGGAATCAGGGTTTTGTACAGCCGAAATCGAGGCTTCGAGGGTTAATCCGTCAACGTTTTGGATTGGTTCTCCTTGAATTAAGTCTCCACATCATCAAATGTATTCCATTGAATCAAGTATGAATCCAATTTGAGGTTCTCACCCAGGAATTGAGAACATTGCAGTTCAGGATACCCGATTAGGGTTTTCGATCAGGAAAAGTCAACTGTAGTTTGACTTTTGATTTAAAAGGTGTTCCAATGGTGGGATCATGGTCTATGAAGTTCCTATGGCTTAGTAAAGTCTACTCAAGAAGTTTCAAGGCCTCAAAATACCCGAAACATCAACAGTCGACTCGGTAGCCACCGATCGATCGTTTGGTTGACCGAAAAGTCAACTCTTCACTCATGAGGAATTTGACCTCAAAATGGGAATCAAAAATGGTCCTGATGACATATTACACCTACCCATGAAGTTTTGTGACCATTGGATCAAGAATTGATAAGTAATCAAAAAGTTGGGAAATTAAGGTTTTCAAAAGGGCAAAGTCATAACTCCTTAACCACACAAGGGTTTTTGACCTAGTTTCAAAAGGAATGAGTTCCTAACACAAACATAAATATTGTAGTACCTAATTGAGGATTTTTAAAAAGTATAAGTGGGTTCCATAACTCTTCCTGGTTAGAGAGAACCAAGATCCACAAGTTGGCAAAAACTCACATTCGCAAAACTAGGTCAGCATGAGTTTTTTTATTCCAAAACCTCTCCAAATCGATGTTAATCAAAGACTAAACCTCATTTATGATGTTTGCATTAATAATGAACATTTTTAATATCAATTCCCACGAAAATGGCACAAAGATCAAAGGAAATCATTATTTAATGCAAGTTGCAAAAGTGAATAGTGAAGAAAGAGAAAAAAGGTGGCTACCCTTGTCAAATCATCAACTTTACTTCAACAAGTCACCTCCTAACCTATCAAGCATGATGAAAACAATATATAAGGAATGGAGAATATCTTATTAGAGTGGCTTAAAGACAAGTATGAAGATTGCATTGGAAAACTCAAAGATTTTCATGATGGAAGGTTAAAATTGGCAATTTGCTTCACTTTTGTCCATACCTTGATCCAAGGCCTTTGGCTATAAATAGAACTCACTTCCTACATCACAAACACACCAGTTCCATTATAGAAACCATCTAGAACTCTCTCCCTTACACAATCACCAAATTCTTGCAAAATCTCACTAAGTCTCCAAAATCCCTCAAAATCTATTTTTGCAAAACACCTTCCAAAACCATTTCCAAACTTTTCCCAACTCAAGAAACACTTCAAACACATCAAATATGATGTATTGAAGCTATCCAAATCACTTCCACACTTATGTAACAAGGTTTGAGTGAGTTGGTCTTTGAAATCTTTGGATTTTAGAGTTTTTCCTTCATTTACAAGGCATTTCGTCCAC